CTGAGCGGACACGTGGCTCAAACACCCCCCGTCCGTAAAAAAATATAAACGGGCGTGCGCCTGCGGGGACGACCCTGGGATCGCCCACTACGACTTATTTTTCGAGAAAGCCTGATGTCGGCGATTCTGCGCAGGACGTCCTCACAGTTAGCTTGGTTTCGCCCCTGGTGTCGTCTGCTTTCGCCTGGTTAGGCCATGTTGGGTTGCGCAAGCCGCTTGAGAAGTCCTCGCAATTTGCGTGGGTTCGCCCCTGGTTTCGCCCCAGTTTCGCCTGGGACGTCATCGCAAATTGCTTGGTTTCGCTTGGTTTGCACGCGGTTTCGCCCGAGACGTGCTCGCAATGTGTCGAATTTCGCATTTGGTTTCGCTTGGCTCCGCCTGAGACATCCTTGCAATGTGCTTGGCTTCGCCTGGAAGTTGCTTGGTTTGCCCTGGTTTGGGGGCGGGTTCGCCTGAGAGGCCCTCGAAATGTGCCTGGATTCGTCCCTTGTTTCGCCTGGTTTCGGTGCGGTTTCGCTTGAGACGTTCTCACAATTTGCTTGGTGCCTCACACGCGTCGCGGGTGCAAACATGTGGACAAGCACGGTGTGCAGTGACACCATTTTGATTCACATTCTGCGCTCCTGCGCTACAGTATAACTGGCAAAGTGGGTGTAGACATCCGAAACGCAGTGTGAGTGTGTGTGTGTGTTGTGTGTGTGTGTTCTGTGTTGTGTGTGTTGTGTGTGTTGTGTGTGTGGTTGCGTTTGTGTGTGAGTGTGATTGTGAGTGTGGTTGTGTGTTTGTGTGCGTTTGTGTGTTAGTGTTCGTGGTTGTGTGTGATTGTGCTTGAGTTTGTGGTTGTGGTTGTGGTTGTGGTTGTGTGTTTGTGTGTTCGTGTTTGTGTGCTTGTGTGTTTGGGTTTGGGTTAGTGTGTGTGTGTGTGTGTGTGTTTGTGTGTCCGACCACTGTATAACATGGTGCACCCTTCGCTCAATATTCCGACGGTAGGACCCCACATGATATTATGTTTAATTTGCCTGGGGAGCTCCTCCTGCCCCCTCCCTTCTCCCACCTACTCTTGCCTCCTCCTTCTCCTCCTGCCTGCTCCTCCTCCTGCCTTAACCCCTGCCTCCTCCTCCTCCTCCTCCTCCTCCTCCTCCTCCTCCTCCTCTTGCCTCCTCCACCACCTCCTCATCCTCCTTTTCCTCCTCCTCCTTTTCCCTCTCCCTCCTCCTCATCCTCATCCTCATCCTCCCCTCTCCCTCCTCCTCCTCTCCCTCTCCCTCCTCCGCCTCCTCCTCATCTCCAATCTCCTCCCCCTCCTCCTCCTCCGACGCCTCCTCCTCCTCCTTCTCCTCCCCGCACGGGCAGGGTCGCCGCCTGGCGATCCTCATGAAGGTCAACGGCGCTCGCGTGCCGAGCGCTCGCCCGCACGACGGCGGGCGCAGGCTGCTGCTGACCTCGGGTTCGTTGCTGCTCATGCCGATGTGGCACGGCTGAACACCCAGCCGGTGGCGCAGAGGGACAAGTTCGTCGAGCTCCTCGAATCCGTCGAACTTGTGTCTGGAGGCGACCGCGAGCTGGTCGATAGGCTGCTGGCAGCGGTGCCCTTTTTGAGCAAGATGTTGGCCGGCCAGGTTCCGGAGCATCTGGATGTGTTACGTGGCAATACGGCTCTCCCATGCTGATGGCCGAGGTCTGTGCTTTGCGAATGCCTCGGGCGCCGAGCTCAGGCACGCCCAAGGGGGACCTCGGCTGGAGGTACGCCGTCATTGTGTCGGGCCCCGTCGTGATGCTGCTCCCTTCTGGCCGCTGCGGCCGCCTGGAGTCTGGGAGGTTCCTCCCGAGGTGCTCCTGTTGGAGGAGCTCGGGTACGGCTCCGCAGCCGACGCAGTTGAGGAAGTGGTGGACGCGAGCCCGTCGAAGGCGTGGCTTTTGGCGATGGAGTCCGCCAGCGCTGCTGCCGCCATGGTGGCGCTGGATGCCCAGGTGGTGGGAGTAGAGGCCCAGCGTGTCAGCGGTGGACTCGTAGGTGAGGGCCCCGCGTCGGGAAGAGCCCAGGTGGCGGGAGGAGAGGCCAGGACCCAGGTGGTTGGCGGAGAGTTTCGGGGGAGGAGCCCGACCCAGGTGGTGGGAGGAGCGGTCGGCCCCCCACGCAGCGCCCAAGTGGTTGGAGGAGGGGCAGAGGCGATTTCCCCGACATCTTGCTTGGAGCAGGAGGCCCAGGTGGTAGGTGGAGTGGCCCTCGGCGAGATGATGGACCCTGGGGAGTCCGTCGGCATGTCGCAGTCCGCGCAGCAGGACAGCAACCACATGATCGAGAAGGCGCACGTCGAGGTCGTCGGCGCTGGCCCGCACGTGCAGCCGTGCGCCCTGGTCGTGGCGAACCCGTGCATGGAGGAGGTTTCGGCTTGGCTGGACGGCTGGTGGCCGCTGATGGGGGACAATCCCAATGGAGAAACGTCTTGCTATCTCGAAGCCCTGTATGAGGACGACCTGGATAGGAACTGAGAGGAGATGGTCGCCGAGATTAACGCGAGCATCAGGCCCATGCCCACCAGCTACCTCACCAGGAGCAGGGACTTTGGGGCTCTCGTGCAGCACACGCCTTCATGCCTGAGTATTTCGTGTTTCCGCTCGTGCTGTCGCGGCGAAGCTGAAGACAGCGAGCGTGCTGTTCTTCGATGTCGACGTGCGGGCATCCTGCGGATAGGCGCCGCGGTTCTCAAGCCGACGGCGACGGTCAAGGCGAGGCGACCAGGCAGAGGGCGAGTGTTTCCCCCCCCTCCCCCTCCTTTCGATTCCCGTTTGTCTCGCCTCGGGCCTCGGTACAAAGCGCGGCGACGGGCTGGCCCGCGGAATAGTAAATAGTCCTCCTCCTCCTCCTCCTCCTCCTCCTCCTCCTCCTCCTCCTCCTCCTCTTCCTCCTCCTTAGGCCTCCTCCTTAGGCCTCGCGCTTCCTCCTGGGGCCTCCCGGGACCTCCTGGGGCTTCCTAAAGCATTCCTCCTCCTCCTCCCCCTCCTCCTCCTCCTCCTCCTCCTCCTCCTCATCCCCATCCTCATCCTCATCGTCCTGTTCCCCCTCTGCCTCCTCCTCTTTCTTCCTTCTCTTTCTCGTCCTGCATCCTCCTCCTCCTTTTTCCTCCTCTCCTTTTCCTCCTCCTCCTCCTCCTCCTCTTCTTCGTGCGGAACACGACCTAGAGGAAACGCACGACGTGCGTCCCAACACGACCTAGAGGAAACGCACGACGTGCGTCCCAGCGGCTACGCGACGGAGGCCGACCCAGAGGAAGCGCGCGCCAGAGGATGACCCGGAGAAAGCAGGCGAGGTGCGGGCCCGGGTTCCCGCTTCAGATTTCTTTCCAATTCGCTCACGGACGAGGCTCCCGCTTTGTACTTCCTCCATATTCAGGCCTCAGGAGCCCAAAAGTGACGACGATTACAGGAGGTCGATGACCCGCCTCGGCTTCGAACATGAAGTGCGGGCCCCATAGAGAAGGTGCTCCCGCCTAAGACTTCCTCGCAAATTACTCACAAACGAGGCTCCAGCCTCATACGCCCTCCATATTCAGGCCTCAGAAGCCCAAAAGTTGCGACGGTTACAGGAGGCCGATGGCCCGCTCCGGCTTCGAACGTGAAGTACGGGCCCCATAGGGACGGGGCTCCCGCTTGAGACTTTCTAATTCACTCACTGACGAGACTCCCGCCTCATACTTCCTTGATGTTCAGGCATCAGGAGCCCAAAAGAAACGACGGTTACAGGAGGCCGATGACCCGCCTCGGATTCGAACATGAATCGCGGGCCCCACAGGAAGGGGGTTCCCGCTTGAGATTTCCTCGCAGTTCACTCACAAACGAGGCTCCCGCCTGATACTCCCTCCATATTGAGGCTTCAGGAGCCCCAAAATGACGACAGGCACTCGAGGCCGATGGCCCGCTTCGGCTTCGAACATGAAGTACGGGCCCCCTAGAGAGGGGGCTCCCGCCTGACACTTCCCCGCAATTCACTCACGGACGAGGCTCCCGCTTCATATTCCCCCCATATTCAGGTTTCAGGGGCCCAAAGGCGACGACGGTTATCGGAGGCCGATGGCCCGCCTCGGCTTCGAACGTGAAGCGCGGGCGGGCCCCATAGAGAGGGGGCTCCAGCCTGAGACTTCCTCGCAAATCACTCACTGACGAGGCTCCCGCCCGAAACGACACACAGACGAATGATGATCATGATGCTGTGAGTGATGGTGATGATTGAAATGATGACGGGGCCAGTGGTGATGATGGTGTGTGAGTGATTGAGTGTGTGTGTGTGCGTGTTGTAATGTGATCGTGTGCAGTGGGTGTGTGACGGATGATGATGGGGTGAATGATTATGTGTGAATGATTGTGTGCGTTAAAAAATAATGATCGTGTGGTGTGTGTGACTGATGATGATGGCGCCAATGACTGGGTGAGTGAGTGTGCGAGGGGAGAAGCAACTGAATGTGTTATGATGGCGATGGGTGATTGAGCGAGCGAACGTGCGAATGCAGAAGAGGAGAGGGGGTGAGGTGACAAGACTGCGCGGGGGTGTCCAGAGAAAACAAGGACCCCATTTAGGATGTGGGGAACGAAATGTATGCTGTGATGTGGCATTGGACAACCTGGTGGCGTTAGGAAAAGACCCTCTCCAGCCTGTAGTGGACCCTGCACATCCTGAACACAGAGGTTGGGACCATCACCAACATAGTCGGCGTGCCTGCGCCGAGGGAAGATGATCCCAATCTCGGCGATGGTAGTAGCAGTCGGGCGTCTCAGGTGGCCAAGGGAGTACCACCATCACCAGAATCTAAGATAATATCCCCCCAGTGGAGACATCCCCCTGTGTTTTCTGCTGGTGCCTATTTCCAAGCCTCCAACTATAGGTTAAAAGGGTACCCAAGCCCACATTTGGAGACGGGGCGACCATCAGAGAAGTATTGGAGACCGGTGGCAGCTTGCCAGAGACGGAAGAGTCCAGTAGATGGCCGACGGCAGGTTACATCATGAAAGGCGCGGGTTTCATCCTTCTGGGTCGTCGCCCTCATTCGTGGCCCTTCCAGGACGGATACACCCGACCCGACGGATTCGATGGACGGTTGAGCCTCGCAGAGGAGTTGAGGGAGAAAGGCAACGAGAAGTTCAAGGATCCACGGGCGCCAGAAATCCACCCGCACATGTCCTGGCCAGGCCAGCATTGATCCCAGGATCGGCGCAAGTGTTCTGATGCGATGTCAGGGCTGTGTGCGCATGGGCGCAGGATTGGCCTTGCCAGGATTGGAGTATTGCGGGTAGTTGGCGTCCACCCACAGGAGGAGAACCTTGATGCGGCGATGATGTACGCGTTGAGTGCTTTGCATTGCCTGGACTTCAGCAGAGGGGCCTCCATGTCGCACAAGGACTCACACAAACAGCAAACATTTGGCGCGCTGGTGAAGATCATTAGCAACTTGAGCATCGTGTTCTTGAAGCGAGGCGACAATTACAACGCGGTCAGGGCTGCAGACTTGGGCCTAGATCCCAGAGGTTCACGCCATTTCGCCGACCCTTGGAAAAAACACGGACTCGCGAAGATCTGTTGGGACGCCTCAGATAGAGGAGAAGACAGGCGGAGCAGACAGGAAGAAAAGCACGAGGAGGCAGAGCACGAGCAGGAGCAGGAGGGTGAGGATGAAGAGGAGAAGAGGGGAGGATCCTGAGATCCAACGCAGCGAAAAATGAAGCATCGTACAACAAGTCACGGCCCGAGCCCTGGACCGCATCTTTCCGCTGCATCCCTCGAGCCAGATGGATCCGCGAGGGCCCCAGGGCCAGAGAACGGCCGACAATGCCCAGAGTGAAAAAATGCCACGCTCGGATTTCAGGGTAGTCGGCGGATTTCGTGAGGAAGCTCCCCGCCCCTGGCGCCGACCAGCTAAAGGCCAAGCTGCTGTACCGGCGCGGGCTGGCCAAGGGACAGACGCGCGATTGGGACGAGGTCCAGCGCGTCCTCGTGTTCCTCTGCCTCCTCCTCCTCCTCCTTCTCCTCCTCCTCATCGTCCTGTTCCCCCTCTGCCTCCTCCTCTTCTTCCTCCTTCTCTTTCTCGCCCTGCATCCTCCTCCTCCTCCACCTCCTCCCGCCTTCTTCGCCATCGTCCAACAGTCGGGTCGAATGGTTGGACTCTTGAAGAGACCAGGACAAAAACGCATAACCATAAATAAATTCTCGGAGGCTCGCGCGGATTTTTCTCGGGTCGGCGCGACTTCCCCCCCTGGCGGCGCCTTTTGGCGGACTTCGCGCACCGGGGAGGGCGAGAGGGGGGCCAGCGCCGACCCCAGAAATTCGAGCGGACCTCCGAAAGCTTTAACATGAGGATGTCGTCGCATGTCCTCTACAATGGGTCGACCCTGCAGAGAGACGTCAAGGGAGAAGAAACCACCCGGACCCGACGACTGGCGTTATTTAACGGCCCTGGGCGTTTACTCAGCAGTTTTGCCCTGTTCGATCCTTCTTTGGGTGCGTTTACTAAACGGCTTAGCGTGTGGAGGTCCTTGTTCTGTGGGTGGATTTCCTGCCCTCTCTATATCGGAAAGAGCGTGTTCTACCGCTGCTGGCGGAAAACCAGGGGGGGTCCCTACCGGTTCGAACCCCTCCCCCCCCCCCCCTCCGGAAAACAGGGGGGGTCATTACCGGTTCGAACCCCTCCCCCCCCCCCCGTTCATCATGAAAAGGGGGGGGGGGTCACTACCGTTTCGAACCCCCCCCCCGCCCCCTCGAAAACCGGGGGGGGTCACTACCGGTTCGAACCCCCCCCCCCCCCCTCGAAAACCGAGGGGGGGGTGCGGACAGTGGTGGAGACGGTGGTGATGGGGACACTGGTGAGGGGACAGCGGGACAGTGGTGGGGACAGTGGGACAGTGGTGGGGGCGGTAGTGGTGGGGACAGTGGTGAGGACAATGGTGGGAACAGTAGGGACAGTGGACAGTGGTGGGGACGGCGGTGGTGGGGACAGTGGTGTGGGGACAGTGGGAATGAAGTGGAAACAGTGGGACAGTAGAGGGTACAGTGATGGGGACCGTGGTGAAGGCGGTGGCGAGAACGGCGGTGGGACAATGGGACAGAGGTACAGTGGGGACAGTGGTGCGAACAGTGGGGACAGTGGTGGGAACAGTGGGACAGCTTAGTGGGACAGCGGAGGAGTCAGTGGGACAGTGGGGGCAGTGGGGATAGTCGGGCAGTGGTTGGGGCCGTGGAGAAAGTGGGGAGAGTGGAGCCCTGGTGGGAACAGTGGTGGGGACAGTGGGGACAGTGCGACAGTGGTGGGGGGCACTGGTGGGGAGACTGGGGGCGGTGGTGGAGCCAGCGGGGAGAGTGGTGGTGAGGGCAGTGGCGCTGGGAACAACAGTGAGGGATGTGGTGCGGACGGGGGTACTGGGAAAAATCTTTCGCTTAGAAGGCACTTGTGTTAGATACAAGTAGTTGCAACTGATGTTACAATTATGTGAAGTTATAACCATGCTATGTGTACATACAACCTCACCATCCACTTACATCTTGGGCGAAACAGATCGGGAGGATAATATGCATTTAAGCTGTGAACCACCAAGGTTGAGGAGGAAAGTAACCTAGATAGCCGAACCAACCTAACCAGGATAGGGAGGTTAGCGTAACCTATTTAGCAACTGGCGAACCTAGGAAACGAAACCTGCTAACCTACATAGCGGGTGGCGGAATCCATTGAGTTCGGCCCCAATACCTAAAGCCCCAGCTTAGAAAAGTAGGCACGCACTTCTCGATTCCAAGATGAGAACCTAAGCGTTGGCGAAGCGCGCGAGAAGGCCCAGAAGGAAAATATGAGAGGGGCGAAGAAGGATAATATGGGCGTGGCGAAGCTGAGAGGAGATGCCTCACATCGTTTTCGTTTCTTGATGTCAGAAGTTCCGTTTGTTTCGCAGCCGTTTTGGCTCTGGTCTTTGGAGGTGGCGACCTTGAGATTTGGATCCTCGGACCCATCAGAATCGCTGGGTGTAACACGCGATGGTGTCCATCCCGCAGGCTTTGGAACTGGTCGCGCCTCGGGTCGAGGCCTTTGTTTCTGCCGTCAACTCTGAGGAAGGCTTCCCGTCCCAGCTGATGGCTAAAGGTGAAGCCATCATACGCTTGCTCAAGGATCACAATCTGGCCTACGACAGGACGATCACCCCGTGCCTGATTCGTCCTCACATGACGAACCGCTCGGGCGCTGGGCTGGACCCCATTCGACGTCCACTGCTTGATCGACAAGATACTTGCGCAGGGGCACGTCCAGTCCAAGACAGCAATGTCATGCTGCTTCGAGGCGCACCCCATTAAGTCAGAGGCCTTTGTTTTCAATGAGAAGCTCTGGCACAACAGCGATGGGATGTTAGCTCCTGTTCAGAAAGAGGACCTTGGCTTCCTGAGCGTCGGTGGAAGTCACACTGTGGGCGGAATGAATGCGGTTGAGCCTCGGTGCGCTACCTTCCTGACCGACATCGCTGGGGATGGCCACTTGTCGATCGACAAGTGCAGGGCGAAGAGCCCCGAGTACGCGGATGCTGTGCCCAACGGCTTCCCATGGCGCGTCATTCGTGATCAGGTGGATGAAAGGTTCCCTCTTCTCGCCCAGGCGTTGGTTGAGTGTCTGAATTCGGGTCGCAATGCTGAGCGCACCGCTACCAAGATTCAGATATTGCCAGAAGCGTTCACCAAGGGGAAGCAGAACCCTGCCAGCCACGGCGAGTTCAAGTGGGCCGCGGTGTCCCACGCAGTGGAGGCCTCGAAGCCCCACGTCAAGGGCCAGGTCTTGGATGTGACAGCCTTCGCCGAGCGGTGGAGCGGAGGCGACTCGCGCTCGTGCCTGAGAGAGTTGGACGCCTGGCCCAAAACACTTCGCAGCCGAGCTGACGTCCAAGGCTCTACATTCAAGATGCTGGCGGGCTTGGGGATCGACAGCATGCCAGAGGCGGTGTTTGCGATGCTGAAGACAGCAATGGCCTCGCCCTCCAAGTACTGCCACGCTGGCACCACCGCGAGCAAGCTCCTGAACAGCACTGACGTCGCGGCGATGCTCAAGGATCGCAGGCAGCAGCTCGTTCAGTTCGTAGGGATGGTGAGGGCAGCTCACAAATGGCACGCTGACATGTTGGACGAGAAGGTGCACCTCTCGAACTCCACGTTCTTGAAGCTCTTGGGGTAGTTTGAGGTCGGCTGCGCCATGCTTCTGCTCAAGAAGACGCTGCCAGGGAAGCAGCTGCCGCCCAGCCGCCAGCACATTGGCCAGGAGTTCGTCGATAAGGTCACGGACGCCGTCCCGTTCGTTAACGAGGTCAAGCCGCCGTGGGCCCCCATGACCTCGACTGGGCCAGTCGCAAAGGGCAGCTGCGTCGGCTTCCGGAACGTGGCTGCAGGCGGCCCCACCGCAGCGTTTGTCGCCTCCGCTGGCTTCGAGCTCGGTGCGGAGATCGAGCTGAAGACGAAGCCCTCCTCGGCTGGGTTCACGAAGTAGACCATCGCCAGCATCGGCTCGGACATGGACACGTTTGCGGAGTTGAAGGGCGAGTCCGAGGACGGATCGGTCTCGAGCAACGTGGAGAAGGTCGGTTTCATGAGCTTGGTTGATTTGCACAAGGTGATGCATGCGGGAACTTGCTGTAAAACAGGGGGAGGACGAGGGGAGGAAGACTGAAGGACGAGCGAAGAAGGAGGTGGGGGGGGGGGGTGGGGGGGGGGGGGGGAGGGGGGGGGGGAGGAGAATGGGGGGGGCGAGGGGGATGGCCGCGACCGAAGTGGACGGCAAGCTGGGATGGAAGGAGGGGGGGAATATGGCGCCGCGAGAACGAGGAGGCGGATGGTCGAACCGACGGGGGGGGGGGGGGCGAGGATGAGGCGGAGGGGGAGGGGGAGGCGGGCAGGAATGGAGGGAGGAGGAAGGGATGTAGAGAACATGAGGGAGGGGAGAGAGCGGAGGGAGGGCAACACCAGAACCCACGTTCCTTTGAAACGGGGGGTGCGTCTGCCAAGAAACACCATTCCTCCGTCCTGGTGGCCCCGATGGTTTTTCGATGGAAGGTGGGTGGTTCTGGGAGGGGGGGGGGGGTGTCAGCGTTGCGCGGCCCTCAGAAGCTTTCTCGTGGACGAGGCCCCTTCTCCTTTTTTCTTGTTCCTCCTTCTCCTCCTCCTCCTCCTTCCCCTCCTCCTCCTCATCCTCCTCCTCCTTCTCCTCCTCCTCCTCCAACTCCTCGTCATCCCCATCCTTTTGATCGCCCCCATCGGGTTTCGGTCACGACGCCGCCCTCCTCGCCCAGAGTTGTTCGGCGCTCGTCTGATTCGCGCCGACGCCAGCAGCCCCCTCCACCGCCCGCTCGCCGACTGCACCCCGAGGGTGGCGCTGGCTGGCGGGGGGGGGGGGGGGGGGGGGGGGGGCGGGCGGCGCGGCATCGGCCGACTCAGTCGGACGCCGATCAAGTCTGACGTTTGCGATCTTCAGTCCTCCAGGTCTTGCCCAAGCGCCAGAGGTTCGAGCTGGCGGCCAATGGCAGAGCGCTGGCGGATCGCTGCGGGGCCCTCCTCATCATGCCCCCTTCTCCCCCTCCTCATCAGTCTCCCCATCCTCCTGGATCCTCGCCCACCCCGCCTCCTCCTCCTTCTCACCCTCGTCGTCCTCCGCCTTCTCCTTCTCCTCCTTCTCAGTGCGGTTTA